AGAGAGAGAGAGAGAGAGAGAGAGAGAGAGAGAGAGAGAGAGAGATTTGTGACTTTGGGACTTTACGACATTTGGTTTCAGATATTGGACGAGGGATTATTTGGGACCTGTACCGAAGACTTGGTGTTGACGACATTCCATCTTCCCCCTCTTCTTCGTCTAATCCCCCTCCTCTTCGTCTGTGTATGGTATTGGGGACTGGCGCATTCTTCCTGTGTGAGCGGCAGGCCCCTTCACACCATGTGATGATGATGATGTACATTGCGACATAGATTGGGCTAATCATTGGTATTTTAGCCTTCCGCTGGGCTATCTTGTACTATGTGAGAGAGGTCCGTTCTTGTTCTCGTCTGTACCATTATGGTATGGGACACCTGCACTGAACCAACTGTCTTGATTAGTATATGTCTTTGTTGTCCCTCTTTCCGTGTTCTCTATTATTTGCCTAAAGTCTTTCAGTCTAACATGCATGTTTTGAATTTTGCAGATCTATGCAGCCTGGGGGAAGGTGGAAGTGAGGCAAGGGTGGCTGAGAGTCCAACGAGCCATGTGAATGGCAGGAAGCATCGAGTTGACGAAGTCAGCTCCCCAGCTCCGAAGAAACATGCTAGGGAGGATTCCATGCACTCGCAGCTCAAGAGGTCGAGCTCACTGAAGGTGTGTGCTTGGCATTCCCCTGACTGAATGTGACTGATGCGGCAGATGATTAACACAGCCCTGGATAATGTAATTGGTGCGACATATGGTTAGCACAGCCCTAATTTGAAGCATGTTTTCATGTATACTCCTTTTTTAATGGGCCCATGGGAAAACCGGACTGCTGTGGGACCTAGGTTGGTGGAGGAGCATTCCCGTTTTTTTTTTTTGTCAGTCCCACACAGTGCGCTGACAACAACAGCGAAACGGAAAAAAAGGAAGTGTTCACGCCGTTCTCAGTTGAACCCGGATAGGATGCAGTGGTTGAGGGGGACTAGCAGCTTCGCAACGCCTCGTTGGTCGTTGGCCCTTTCCTTTCATTGTGTTGCTGTTTTCAGCTTTTGCGCTGTTGGTCCTAGCTCTCGGGGCATGTGCATGCAAACGTTCAAATTCAAGTACATAGCATCCTCGCTCTGACTCAAAGGAAGCTGCCCGCGATTTCCCTCTGGACACGTGTTCAAATACAAGAACAGAGCAGCCTTTGAGACACAGCATCTCAGCTCACTACTCAAATTTTGACAAATATCTGGGCAGGTTTATGCGATGGATGCATTTAGCTGCGTTAGGCTATTTTTGATCGGACTGCTTGAGATAGATAGATAGATAGAGAGAGAGAGAGAGAGAGA